GTTTTTCTTAATTATAAATTATTGATAAATAATTAGATAGATCCAAGTGAGTAAAAACATTTTTCTTGGTGTAATCAAACAGCAATAATATAGCAATACACTTTGATTATTGGCTCGAGGTTCCTGTTACATCAATTTTGGAGTCATGCCAACAGAGAAAAAAAGCTAATCAAATTCCAAAGAAATATCTGCCAAATTGTAAATTATAACTGAAAATCACCCATTTATTTTTTTATGTACAATCGAGCTTACGTTTTTATTATTTTTATGTATTTAGACTAAAACTAAACTCATGGCAATTCAAAAAAAAGAATTCATTTTTAGAACAGCACTAATTTGTACGAAACCAACTCGGGTCATAATAATATGTATTTGTATTTTGCAATACAAGTGTTGTGCAAACATTACCTTATTACATATTCTATCAATTTTTCGTCTTAACCGGTGTTTGTTCGATTTCATCCTAAACGGCGTGCAACTATCACTATAGTTTATCGCAATACAATTTTAAGACATTCGTGCTTCCCCAAACCACTTTTTAGCTATCAATCACGACAGAATATTATTTTTTAGCTGATTTTCCGTGTTATTTAAACTATTCAGGCTATTTACTGCGGTTCTTTATGCATTACTTTTCCTTGGATTCTTTTTTCATCTTGTACTATCGAATTTATCTCATTCTGCAACGACGCACAATACACTGATCTTATTTTCATGGCTATACAATTCCATTGCCTATCTTTCTGGTGCTACTACAGGTTTCATGCTCCACCAATATAATATCTGCACCCATCCACCACCCCTCAACGTCATCGTGAAATGAGTCAACATCAAAATATATCTTTAAATATTACATTAACTCATTTTTTATATATATATATATACAAAGTATTTGATACACTCTCTATTGTATAACCATATAAAACACACGCATATACACATACACACATGTTTACACATATATACGCTCAAATATTGAATAGAACAATTGCATTTTTTTTACTTTCTTAGCAGCGCCAAATATCCCGAAAGAAAGACATTCTTCCGTTTTATTGATCATTGACATGTTTTCAAAGGGTTTATCCAATATAAATTTGATATACAACTTTCATATACGACAGTTCAATAACAATATATTATATTTATGATTTCAATAGTAATTATGAACGTTTTAAACATGTACATAATTAAATGTATATTTTATTTATGAGTGTAGACTAGATTACATATAAATGAAAACGATTTATTCATTGACTAAGAATTTAATAATAATTTATACCTTTGAATACGACTAAAGTATAAATTTAATCGTACAATTTCGTTAAATACAACATGATCTACTAATCCGTATGTCATGTAAATTAAATAAAAAATTGTTATCAATAATATGTGTACAAGTAAAAATGAGTTAATTACAGATATGATAGCGATAATCAATATGTGAAATCACTACGAATATTTTATTTTTTTTGTAACTATCTTAATTTCAATATTCCATTTCCTTATATTAATTGATTTTAAAAAATTTAATTTATTGAATGTACGCACAATAAACAGTAATCCGTTGAAGTTGAATAATTGACTAATTTTATAAAGTTAGAATCAATCCATTATTTCTGGTAACCAGATGATCTTTTTTTTTCATCTCGATAATGTTCACTTCCCATAACCGAATTTTGATATCTCTGTTCCACTTATCCGAACCATAGAAAACCTCACTAAACACTTACAAATCGTTTCTTTTGATAGAAGAAAAATACCACAGTTCTAACTAAATATTCTATGAAATACGAATTGTGAGGAAACAAATGCATTGTGTTTTCAATTCGAATTTGTTTCTCATCGTAAACATTATTTCAGTGTTTGTGAGTGTTGAAATTATAGAATTATAGACAATTTTAGACATTACAGAACTGTATTTTTATAAGCTATACAAATTAACAAAATTAACTCTCTTTTTCCATAAACCAACTTTATGGATTATAAAGTAATTTGATTAGTTAAAATGTTCATTAAGTCATAAATATTACGGCAGAGCCGTTCTCTTTTAATTAAAATTGTTCACCCTCCCTGAAAAAGCAATGTGAACAATCGATAGTAAATTCACATATAAGCTTATTACATCACTTTACTTGCTTTTTAATTATGGTGTAATATAGGTCTACATAAAATTTTTTATATTTTTAAGTAATTATTCTTCGATTTTATATTATATTTATATTAGGAAATTAAGATGATAATATATTATAGTTAATCTTTTACAAAATCGTTCATCACTATGAAGCTTCAATTTTACAATATCAAGTAAAATAAACTTTACCACTTATACAAATATTAAGCTTTTTACACAATAAGTTATTGTAAACGAGTATAATCAATACTGAAAATATATTATACGGATATTAAATTATATTTGTTATAAGTTAATTCAAATAACCTACTCTTAATTTAGCTTATTAAAACCTACCTATTATTATTTTTAAGGAATATCGAATATATTCTAATATATTGAATAGCGTGATATCTCACTAAGTCCATTATGTCACATTAATTTGTGTAGAAATTGAACAATCGCATTTATAGTATTAAAGTAAAAACCTACAATTTATCATGTGAACTGATCATAGGCATTAAATATTTTTATTTTTATTTATATTTTGCTTATCCAAAAACGAAAGAAATAAATGTCAAAAATTATTCAATAAAGCAAACCAAGTGGAAAAATACATGGGATGATACTATTTACATAAACCTATCATAAATCATACTGATGCTCCGAGGGCCGGAAATACAGTGGTTATTTGGTCAACCCTTGTTTTTTTCACTGACTCAATTCGTATAAAGATATTTCTCCGTTGTTCCATTAAATTCTAGCAGTATAATAATAAATTATAACTAATATACGATAGCTGAAAAATTATTTTAAATTTTTGATTTTTTAATACAAATCAGAATACAATTAATGTAACTTAAAAGGCATATTATTATACAAATAAATACTATTGTATAACATGAATATATCAATAACGATTTGAAATGAAAAAAAAATTAAAAAATTAATTTTATATACTATTTTATTTTACTATTTTTATATACTATTTATTTACATTTTACATTTTTGCTTGAAAATTCATAATTTTAACCGTAAAAATAGAAAACACGAATAAAATATAAGAGAGTTTGAGTAGTTTGTAACTTTATTCTCTTCATTTTAATTTAACGTATGTTTTTGCACTTGTCGAAAAAAGTTATTTTGGGAAATTCTCAAAAACTACTGAACTTGTCTAACGAATTAGAAAGTAAATCGACACTTGCATTCGACATTCGTTACATCAATCAGTTTATATCAAGATTGTATACCATTTATAAACTTAGGAATGATATTTATCTTCAAAAACAAGGTATTTTGTCAGAAAAATATTAACAAGAATTCTTGATTCTAATATATTATCCTGATAAGTTGTATCCAGACACTTAATGTTGCACTAAAACATCAACTTTAACAAAGTAAAGTTTTTTTTTCACTATTTTTACAAGTAATTATGAATTAGAATTAATCGAATTTTGTATTAAACTTGAAAATGTTTAGAAACACAAGAGTATGTTTAATTATTTTGATTAATTAATTGGTTTATCATGATCATATTTAATATTACATAACTATATAATTTTACTTAAATGTGCAAGATAAATGTAAATACGGTTTTTTCATTCAATTTTATATTTTTTATATAAATAACAAAAATAAAAAATTTCGATTATTTAAAAACTGCATCTAAGTATAATGAATCAATTTAATTATAAAGTTCATTAAAAATGTGATATTTTTATTCAAATATAATTATTTCTTAGTCGTTTGGTCTGCGTTTCAAATGTATCAATATTATTTTGTTTCTTTTGTTCTAGTTAACTTTATTGAAATTATTATATGAATTTTGTTGGTTTAAATATAATTATGTAACTGCAAAAAAATAAATGGTGTCTTTAGATGTTATTTAGTATTAAATTACTTTTACTTGTAATATTATTCAATCTAATTTAAAGGTATGTTTTAAAACATTGAAACATTTTTAATTAACTTGTTCTTTTACACAATTATATTTCTTTGTAATAACTAAACTAACGGCGCTGCCTGATTAAGTTAAAGTTAAAATTCAAAATGTATATAGTAAAATTGAAATCCCATATTTCAATGGTATAATTTATGAAAATATACCACTTATAGTTCCATTATAATTGAATCAATGCCGTACCTGAAAGGGTGAGTCCGAGGGCTTAAACTCCTACCTGCGATTGCTTTCTATTGTAATTGGTTAAAAATAATTGAAGTACACATAATAAAAATAAAAAATTTTTATTAAAACATTGTTCCACTGAATTAATTTTTACGAGTGGTTACTGCTTTATTTAGAATCAATGATAACCTTGACATATTTGTTCGGTGCACACGCCTACATTTCATATTTTCTTAAATTAGAGCAACCACTTAAAAATACAAGATTTAACCGAATAAATGTATTAAAGACTACAGCCCAACACTTAAATCATAAGAATAAATTTTATTTATACATATACATATATATATATGTGCAATGTCATAGCGTAACATCATTCATGATTTTACCGGTTATCGTGTTGCACCAAAATACCTATAGTGTTTAACCGAAATCGGGGCGTTAATGTGTTAATTAATTTTAATTGCTGTACATTAAAATCTCTTGGCAAAGTATAAAACCGAACTGATCAACAATATAACTGAAAAATATTAATTATAAAAAAATAAAATTAAAATTACTAACCGAAACTTGATTTTTTGGCTTCACCGTTTTCTTGCCTATTACGACGCAATTGACGGGTGTGTAAATCCAATAGCGACCATAAAACCGAATTTCGGCCAAAGAACGCCAGTCCGCATGGGCCAGTGTTCACGGAAGGCTGTACTGTGTTATTCTAATTATTATTAATTATTCTAATTCGTGTGTGTTTATATTTTGTTACAGCTGCGAAAGCACACGTCATCGACATTGTCGATCACTAGTGGGATGAAGGTTAGCGGTTCTGGTGGCCGAGGCGATAGCGGCGTAGTGGGCGAGGAAGCCGGCATAGCATTGGTTAGCATACATTCCGACTATCCCCGCTACACCGAAGAACGTACCGGATTGGTGTGCAAGGTACGCGCAACCGTATAATTAGCATAATCATACATTTCGTGTACCTTTTTTATTTTTTCTTCCTCCTCTTTCAGTTAATAAGTACTCGTATGTACAGGTAAATGTATATTTATATACATACATGAGTGTTATGTAAGTGTGTCTTGAAATTCTACCCGATAAATATATTCTTCTCGTCCTTGCTTCTCCACCACGTTACACCTGTCTGATCTGATGAGATACCCTTATAAATATCTATACAAGAAAGTTTGCGTGTATTTGTTCGAGTGTATGCGTATATACATGTCCGTGTATTTATACATGACATGTATACCGCAATAGGATTTTTGAGATTTTCGCGTAGACTCCGTGCTGTCGGTGGTTTTTTCCTCGCCCGCAGAGGAAAAATTTAATAGACATTTAAACATTTTACATTCAAAAATTTGTTTTCATACCAGTACAATACTAATGGGCTCGGAAATATCCATCCATAAAAATGATAAATGTACACTCCTTGGAAGTATTAAAAACAATGCAAGATAAATGTTCAGAAAGCGTTATTGCGACGACGTTCCATGATTAAACCTCAAATAATCATCATCTGCGATGTGATGCGCGAAATGTTTATACTTGTACAACAACTCCGGCGTCGTCGTTGACGTTAGCGCGAGACATAAGACAGCAGCAGCAGACTTCAAAACCATAAATATACGTATATATATATAATAGTGTTGTCCCTCCGACCAAACTGTGAGTCACAGTTTCGGTTTTGTTTTCTGTTTCCAAAATTGTACGATCGGCTGCGATAACTCGTTTACACGAGTTTTAGTAACATTGACATTTCGATGTTTCATAATCTTAATACAATTTTATATTTATCATATTTCGCATTTACAATTGGCAACAATACGTGCAACATTAAATTTTAGGTAGCATCCGGGAACCAGAGTAGGTTTTTTTTTCACATACGGAAATTGATTGCAGTCATTGTGCCATACGATAACCCACACACTGGGTATATAAATGTCAATATTTCTGCAATAATTTATAGTATCTCTATACTATCCAATACTCTCAGGATACCCATTTCGAAATTGATCTGTTCGGCTTTTTATGGTAAATTAAATGCGAACCGAACACGTTTACACGTAATTTCCAATCCATCGATTATAAAAATCGAAATATTAATGCGAAATTTTAAATAATGATAGAAGTAGGATTAGTCATATAATAATAACACTTAAAGTGTATTATAATAATCGAAATATATTATATTAAATCATACTTAATTTATTATATATTCTATATATTTAAATGTACATAATATATTATAATCGCAGTATTTAATCATAATTTAATGTGTACGTCTAACATGAGTATTTGAACAATACTGCTTGACCATCATTAAAGGTCAATTTTAAGTTGATAATCAATAAAGGTATCTAATATTTTAATTTCGAATGAATTTTATAGTTTAACTTTTGGTTTAGAATATTACTAAGCATTTATCACAAACTATTAATAATAATATTACATTCAAACACTTTTAAAAATCATATTTAAAATACAATTTCAGTTTACAGGTTCAGCATCAGGTAGCAGAACCATAATCAAAAAGAACCGGTCCTGGAACCGGTTAACCTTTAAAGTTTAGGAACCGTAATTGAAACCGGAACCTTTATTTCCAAAAATAAAAAACCGTAACCGTAACCTTAATTATAAAAGGATTAATTTAGGTCAGTTATTTAAACTAGTAAAATTATGGTAATGACTATTTTGTTTGTCTATTTGTCGGTTCAGAAAAATAAAAGTCAAATCTTTTTATGTTTTTATTATTTTATGTTGTAAATTGTTATAGTGTATTGAACATAATAAGTAAATTTGTAAAATTAATTCCTATTATTATTTTTGTATTTTTATTAATATATTACAATTTACAATGAGTATATTATCTATCTTGTCAATTAAGTATTAAATATAATTACTGTTTATAAAAAATTTATAGCTACAACAGTAGCCAGTATTAACTTTGATTCCTAATTAAAATTACATTTTAAGCTATAGATATTTATTTCATTCAATTATAATATTTCACAATATTACAAAATATTTTACAAATTCTTACTATGAGTTGGAATAAAATAACTTAACCTAACTCAAAGAAATATAATAGGCTAATATTAGTAATAATAATTTATTTAATTAATAATAATTATAATGATTTTAATTAATAATAAATTATTAATAATTAATAAAAAAAAATAATAAAAATATAATATATATATATATTAAATATATTTATAACTATTTTTTTTAACTATCAGAAGACCTTCTATTTTCATGAAATGAAACAATTAAAATTTAAACAATAATCTCTAATAATCAGAATTAACCGAAATTAACCGGCTCTAGAACCTTTACACTTTAAAAAAACCGAGACATAAACCGAAACCCTTAGAAAATTAATTGAACAACCAAAACCGAAACCGGAACCGAAAAAACCTATAGGTTCCAGTCCTTGTTCAGCATATAAGATACATGTTCAAATAAGGTTGTAAAATACAATAAAGTAATATATTGAAATGTACAACAGTTTTTTTTTATGAAATTTTACAATAAGTAAATTACATTTAAACTTACGATGTATAATATAATATGTAAATAAATTATACAAAAGTAATAAATATTTAATTGTATGTGATCCGATTTTAGTATACGTCTGTTATTAATTTTTATAACCGTAGTCATAAATACTAGTTTATCGTCATTTCTATTTTACTAAAAATATTTAACATATTATTTAGTGCTAATGAGAAATATTTTACAGAAAGTTTAAACTTTCATGGAATAAAAAGTAAAAGTATATTTACTTATTCAATTTAAAACGGATTCTAATTTTTTCATCCCAACGTAATCGCTACCGGAGTATTGAAGATTTTCTTTTTGCATCGACTTCCTCACAATTTGCTTAAGATATTGCGTGTATATTGGATTAAGGTCGGAAAATCTTCTTTACTCCTGGCTTCCATCACTCCACCTATTAAATATTTTGTGATATGCTTTAGTGTGTGTGTGTGTGTGTGTGTATGTAATAAAATACTAAGCACCCGTATCCAACTAAATTCGCGTCCCTATTTATAGATGCTTTTTTAAAGCTCTTAAAATTCGTTTAGCAGACTGAGAGAAACTTTCGATGGAATCGATAAACCGCCTTATTACAACGAATAGGACAGCTGATCCATAAATTATATCACCAGAAATCTCTTTTAGGCATTTGACAACATCCTAAATATTTTATTAGCTTTAAAAAATTTAACAAACATTACTAGTATAAGAATGCAATAAATATTATTAATATGAATGTGAAATAAAATCAATATTTTCTTTGACCATTAAGATATTAAAATCTGCAAAGTCTAAGAGAAAATAAAATTAAATAAAAATAAAGTTGACATATCATGCAGAATATTTATAAACTACATAAATTTAGCATCTTTTGATTTGATCAATGCTATAAAAAAAAAAAAAAAAAACTCGACTTTCATTAGGATAAAAATATAATTATTTCTTAAAATAAACTCCGATTAAAATATATTTTAATATGAATAAATAATTTTATATGGTGGTTACAATAAATTACTTTGTTAAATATGTTCATTGTACAAACCTTAGGTACTATGAATGTAGCTTATATTTTCAATAAAGCTTCATTATTCATTCTGTTTTTATACACATCACTATAATTTTGTTTGCTATTAATTTTTTTTTTTTTTTTTGTGATAACAAATATTTCCGAAAAGAATTTCGAGATTAAATACAATTTTGGACATACTCGACAAACAACAAACATGAGTGGTCAATTCAACTAAAAAAAAATACATAAAATTCATATTAAAAATATTTTTAATTTTTCAAATAAAAAATTAGTCTTATATTATTTATAGTCTGTAATAAATGTAATACAAAATTGTTTTAAGCTTTACTATAAAAAAAAAATATAATAAACATTATAATTGCAAATGCATTAATATTAAAATAGTGAGTTAGGTTTTATTTGATTCTCTCATCCGTACATTTTTTTTGATCTTCAAACTGATTTTCGTCAGAAACAAAAATTGATCAACATATTTTATATTTAACATATTCATTAGGTATTTTTTTTAAATTGTTTTTAAAAATAATTATTTTCCACAGGGTACCAGCTTAGTAGGTTCCAGTGGTAATATAACCGGCAGTAAACATAAACCAAACGTTGGATACAGACTGGGTAGGCGTAAAGCACTTTTCGAAAAACGAAAAAGAATCAGTGATTACGCTCTAGTGATGGGCATGTTTGGAATCATAATCATGGTCATCGAGAATGAGCTGGCTAGTGCAGGAGTGTACTCAAAAGTAAGTCTGCATGAAAAATATTTTAATATTAGTATGATAAATAGAAATTAGAAATATAAAATTAGCATTGATGTTATAACTTGGTACTCGGCAAAAATATATAATATTAAAACCATTATAAGTTATGTTCGTGTTTTGGTACTTAAAATCATTTATTGCGTACACACAAAGAATACAAAATTTATTCATATTGACCTCGAACACAATTCTATAATGCACGGAGGAGAAAATATACTTATATTGATGATGAAAAATTACATTCTTTGACTCTGCGTAGTACATACATACGTATTTGGTATTACATACATGAAACAAAGAAAATCATACTGTACACATCATCCAAAAATAGATAAAATAGAAACTATCGATCCGATTTAAAATTAAGTTCATGTTACGAAAATAATATTGATTTTGAGTTAAGACGGTATAATAAACGAATCTAGGAAGTTGCCTTTATCGGTCTAGAACTGTTTAGATGATAATGACTGCTGATATAGGATACAGATTAACTAATAATGAAATCAACACACGTATATATATATATATATATATATACACACACACACACACACACACACACACACACACATACATTTTGAATTTAAAAAAACCGTCAATAAAGTCGATTGAAGACATTTTTTTAAATTTTATTTTAATTTTTAATTTAATGTTAAGTACTCTGTTATGTATAAACGCTAATATTGAGTTTTCATATGTTTGAAATGAAAAAAAAATAATTGGAGTTTTAAATTAACCTTCAGGTTGAAAAAAAAAATAAAAAATATGCTTGATAATATGTTTGACCGAACACAAAAATATTAAATAATTTGACTTTTTTTTGCTAACTACACAAAAATAAAGATAATATTATGGTATATGAAAGTATATGTAAAAAAAAAGCATGCATTTTTATTGTTTATTAAAACATTTGTTTACAATTAATGAACCAAGAAAGCACTCTTTTGTCATACTGAAAATTCAAAACTAAAGCTTATTATAAATCATTTAAAAAGTAAATACATATTATAACACAAACAGATTTCAAATAAAAATTATGATTTCTCATAATGTACTTTCTAACTTTCTAGTATGTATTCATAAGACAGTTAAAACAATAAGAATATTGAATAATATATTTTCCAAAGTAGCAATATTGCAAATGAGACGTGAATTCATAAGTATTTAACTTTTTTTTATTTAATTAAATACATATTGACATTAGATTAACAGAGTGATTTCAAAATAAACATTTTAAAAAAGTACAATTTAATTACACAATATCCAATAGCTTACAGAATTTGAATGGGTGATGAATCAAACTATCTCATAGTTCACATATATAAACTATATCCAATTACGGTAAGCTACCGTCATCTAAAATTATTGTTTTGATTACTTAATATAATACATAAAATATTATGCTAAAAAATTATATTTTATAATATATTGTTCTAAAATAAAACGAAACAAAAATAATTTATGTATATAATAAATTATTTATATGTTATATACAATATGGACATACTTTTCATATTTATAATTATTATGTTTATATATTTTTATTACATTTGAAACTTTTAACAGTGTATAAACTTATTTAGTAAAAATATTTCTTTATAATATTTTATTGATATTTTATTTAATATTAATAATTATAAGTGCATGTTTCGTTGTTTTAGCTAATATAATGTATTATCCTGGCAAACATTAATTACATTAAATAGTTTTAAAAATATTATAAGGTCTTTCTAAACAAAACATTATTTCTTAAACTTTTGAGTTAAAAAAGCTAAATATGATGAACTCAATTTTTTTTTAAAAATCAACATTTATTGAAAAAACTATTGGTTTTAAATTAGTATTTTATATATCCCTACATATCATTTTATCATCTTATCAAATATATGCTACTATTTAACATGATATCAATTTCTTTATTTTTTACGTAAAATTTAAAAATATAATTAACAAATATAAAATAATAATGATTTATCTGGTAAAGATTTAATAAGATAATATACCATACGAGTATACTATATTTCATGATATAAGAAAAATAATATACTTATCATGCCTCAAAGTTCACTATGTGTACATAATAACACAGTGAAACAACATGAAAGCTTTAAATCTTGGCCGTTTGTTAGGAAAATCAACGAAACCCAAAATCAGCTTAGATTTTTATTGATATAACAACGAACCAAGTTACTCACCAAATACTGTTGAACAGGAAATTATACAAACCAACACATTAACTGTCTAATAATATAATTAAAGGTAAAAAAATTTAAAATAATAGAGGTAGTAACAAGTAGATTCGAACTATAGAGGCAAAGGCTATAAAATAATACAGCTATTCTTTTAAAGTGTATAGTAGTTCTATACACCAATATAATTAGTAAGTTCTAATTTAAGTAATACGCAAATGAATCAAATAATTTCTTAGCATGATAAATTAGTTTTTTACAGTATACTTAAATATATTGTATTTTCAAGAGTTTAATCTAATTGTAGTTTTACAAGTCAATAGGTTTAACCTCAACATAAATGAGACCATGTATAATACTAAAGAAGGGAAGGGTAGTTCTCCATACCCTTTCATTAAAGTTATAAGAAATTGTATCAATCCTACAACTGCCCATCGTCATAAAGTCAGTTTTTAAATTATATATATATACTCTATTAATTAAGGATTTTTCATGGTTATCTACAGTTAAATTAAATACCCATACTACATATAATCTATGTAATAACATATTTCTATCGCCCGAATCCCCAGTTATGTACAAATTATGACTGTTCAGCTCCGCACCATTAAAAGAATATCCTGGTGCCACGTCTGAAATATACGGGTACATTTTTTTTAAAATAAACAATACTCATATTTTGGGTCAATAAAAGTTTTTTCCTTTAATTTAAACACGAAAAACTTTTAAGGATAAATTAGTCATATTTAAGGTTGAGATTTAAGAAATAAAACAAAAATTTAGCTCGATTCGCATACTCATTTTAAACGCCATTTATTCCTACTTTCATATTCTCTTAAATAACTTAAATCAAATTTCCCAAGTATTTCCAGTTCACCAAATATTACACAGCATTAGTGTCCTATTTCAATTTGGAGTTTTACGATTTTTAGCACCACACCACTATATTTCTCCTGCAAACACCACCAGCCACTGTTCAGTTTTATTATGTTTACATTATATCTCTATCTGGCATCTCTTCTACACCATTTTCTTTTACCGTTGTATTCACTCAACCAGAATAATTGAGTCAGTCCAGTAATAATGTCCTTAAATCCTTCAGTCACCATATTTACTTTCGAAGTTATTTAATATATGAGTAAATTAAATGAATATGCAAATATTTTAAAAATTACGTTTACAATGTAATATACACTAGTTACATGTATGTGTTTCTATCGTAGTATTCACCATCCTGTAGGATTATCAGTTTTATTTAGATTAATACTAAATAAACTTATATTCATGTATATTTTAATACAAATTAATCACTTATTTTTTTTTAAACATCTAAATAAATTTTATTGAATTTATAATTAAACAATGAAAGTATTTTTATTTTTATAGATTCTGTATGAAACATGGAATGTATTGATCATACTTAATTTACCATGATTTGGGTTTTTTTTTTTTGTGTCTGTGAACACGATTTCGACTAGAAAAACTACTATGAACATCACAATTATTATTAAAGAATTATTATAGAAAATGCTCTCTGTATCAAAATTTTTTTTGTATCTAATTGTTTTAAACGAGTTTCAAAATTAAATGTATATTGTCTATATTATTTATTATTTATATCACATACAACTTTCGGTTTTCTAAAATACTAGAAGCCTTTTTTTTTTTTTCCTCTGAATATTAAAACATTATTAGTAATAGTTTTTATTGCTAATAAATGTGGTTCTTTTACTATATTAATTATCTTCAGAATTATAAACTGATCCATCTGGCATCTATTACTCAGAATTATTTTTTCAAGATCAATGTACATAAACATGATGAATGAGTACATTGATTTCAAGTTTATAAAAATAATAGATACTATTCATATATATACATAAATACTTTTCACCCATCCTAGGATTTTGACCAACCAAGGACTCATGTTACTTTTTTTTTTTGTTCAAATATTTGTTTTTTATACATACCTATACAAACACAAATTATTTAAATTAACATTCTTGTCTTTATTATATCGTAAATAAAATAACATTAAAATAACATTAATATAATTTATGAACATTACAATATTAATGATTTACTTTAGATTAAATTACTTAGTAAATAAAAGAATAAATGCATAACAAATCTAAAAATTCAAACATATAATATACACGTACGAGTTCGATTGTTAGTATTTTTTTTTTTTTATTTATAAAGTTTTCCTGATAAAATCATCTAAACTTAGGTATAATTTACATCATTTTAGCTATTTATAAAATCGATATTAACATAATATATAGTAGATAATTAGGTTAACAAATTAGCGATACACATTTATAGATTTAAGATAGTGTTACAAGCCATGAACGATCTACAAATAGTATTTTAATTGAAAAAAATCTAATTTAGAACATCATGAAGACGATTACGTTTAGTCTTCGATTGATGGGGTCGACATTTAACCCGAAATATTGTGGACCACTTGCTTTGCGTAGATGACAGAAGAAGCATGCCAATAGATCCTTTGTGTAATTTTTAATTGTTGGTAAATTGAAGTCTGTGTGCGGGGCATCGTTTCGAATAAACCTAAGGGTATTTGAAATCACACGGAGGACTTTGGATTGTAGAACTTGGATTTTATTTATGTGGGTTGACGCACATTGACCTCAGACAGAGACTGCGTATAGTAATAAATGACGAATGATTTGTTTGTATAGTAGTAATGAACACTTCCAGTTCAGTGATATTTGCCAATGTATTATTGGGTATAAAATTTTTAGTCGTTGGTAACCTTGTTACCTTGTACTT